TTTAATAGTTGATTATATTAAATTATTTTTTAATTGATTATTTATTATATTTTTAATTGATATCTTCATACGTACACACACACAGGTCACATGGATTTCTATCCAAACGGCGGTAAAACGCAACCTGGTTGTGTAAAAACGGACTCGTCATATTTTAGTTATTTGAAAATTCCCAAAGACGGTTGGTATCAACAAACCGTTCCGATATTACAGCGGAATCACAGATGAAAATAACATTCGTCGATTATAATTTTCCAGTGATACAAAAAGCAATATGTAGTCACGGGCGTTCTTATCTCTATTTCACGGAATCCTTAGCATCCGCCGCTATGCTTAACTGCAGTTTCTGGGCGCATCGCTGGGATTTGACGTACGGAAGTTTTGTGCAACTAATTAACGAGCCGTGTGACAGAAATATTTGCACGGAAATGGGTATCAAAGCGGAAATGTACGATCAGCGAGGAACTTTCTTCGCAACTACTGCCAGTACTCGCCCATTTTGCTGTAAATATTAATTATATACTCGTGCTATAAATAATAACAAAAACAAAAATTTCGTCACACTGTCAATATAAGGCGTCACTTTTACAGCTAACAGCACTAATGTCATAGAAGAGGTGAAGAGACAGATGCGGTCGGATTATAGTGAAAAGACAAAGGATTAAAAAAAAATAACGTCAATCAATGCGTAGACAACTTGATGTAATAGTAAATAAATGCTTTATCAATATTATATTGCACAGTACAGTTAAATAATTGCTTTCTGTGTTTTTTGGGGTATTTACAGTTGAAAATGTTCGCATAATATAAAAGCTATACATATATATGTATATATATACAAATTTTCTCTGTTCATCTGCACCTTTTACCCTTCGTATGAACAAACAATCGTTTTCCGATGTGTTTATTATTTCAGCTTTCATTTTTATACGCATGATTATCATTTTGGCTTTTAAGAATCTAATATACATATTGAAAATAATATTTCAAGAAATACATAGGTATCTGGATACAATAAAATTGTGCGGAGTATATATACATAATAATCCGTGTAAACGCTACTAAGGAGCAAGATAGAAAATAAACGTGTCAATTTGTTTATAAAGATTCGTTTTTTCAACAGAATGTTTTTTTTCGCGAGATATTTTCCAACAATTTTATGATTGTGCTGTTCAAACATACTGTGTCTTTAATAAAAAAAATTTAATAAAAAAACATAATATATATACGCAATGAAAACAAAAATTACACAGACAGTAAGATGCAATTAAAAAATAGTGTACGTATAAGAGTCGAAGTTTCTCGCGTAACGCATTAATTAACGGATTAATTCTTTTACAGAGAATAGTATATATATAATAAATATTATATATATAATAAATGAATTATAACAGCGATACAAACACATGATACAAAATGTCGTATATATATGTATAAACAAACAGTGTCATTCTGTATAGTTAGACAACACGATTAAAATAATTATTGCTAACATGAAGATATTTCATTGACCGTTTTCGACACGTGATGGTAACTACTATTTGGTAGTAATTTTCAAACCGTGTTTATATACGCGTGATTGAACAGATTCATAGTTTATAAAAAAAAAAGATTTGTGCGCGCGAAGTAAATCCGTTAGTTATAACGTTAGTTATAACGTTATTGGCACATTGTGATATACTCTTATCTGATTCAGCGAAGCCAGATAAAGGCCTTAAAAGTAAACTTTTTTCATTCTTTTGTCAGGCATATACACACACATACACACACACACACATAAAGGCTCACGATTGGCATACTCTAGATATTACTTAACGACACGAAAGTTATTTATCAGTGAATGACTTGGACGTAAGTAGCGGGAAATATACCGGTGCGGCCTCGGCATTCGCCTATCCACCAGCCGTCCGCCTGCTTCTGATGGACGGTTATCAGATCGCCCGGATTGAGACTGAGCTCGTCGTTCAGATTCGCGGAGTACTGATAGATCGCGCGGCACTGTTCCGCGGTCTCGGTCTTGACCACTTCCGTACCGTCTATCTCGTGATTGTTGTTGTCCTCCGAGTGACTGCTGAACTCGTCGAAATCACTGAAGTCGTCCTCGTCCGGCTGATTTTCGGAATTACCATCGCCAGCGGTCCGATCGATCCAGTCGCGAGCCTCGGTGTCCTGTTCCTTCGTCAGCTGCATTTCGAGCTCGTCATCGGCGTCCTGAATCTCAAAGGATTCGTTCTTTACCCAAGAAGGAATCTATCCGTCACGGTAAGAGAATCACATTTGACATTAGTTCGTTATTGAATTACTTGACATTATAGGTCATATATTTCAATATTGATCCAATTATTACCTTAAGAACACTTTGTTGCAGACCCTGTTTGTCTCTCGAAACCAAAATGTGATCTGACAAGGGATGTTTCGCTCGCTTACTGCCTTCCACCTCCGCAAGCGTGCCGCTTATCTTGTATCTCGCCGCCTCCAAGTACAACAACATCGAGCGCATCTGGAATGATGAGATGCGAAATTATATTTCTCTTTTTTTTTTTTTTGTGTTAATTTCTTAGATTGCTGATATGTCCAAAGGAACGTACATGATGCAGCTTATCCGTCACGTTCTGCGCGCTTTCGTCCGCCGCGAATGCCGGTGTCTTGAGAAAGGCGCGGTGCAACGTTTCCAGACCTTCCCTACCCCGCCTTTCTCTCTCGAGATCCTGCCTGATCAGATGCAACACCCTGACCAACGATTGCTTCCGTCGTTCGCGATTCATCGCCAGCGTTACGTGTTCGGCATAAAAGTCGGGCAGCAACTGTTCTGCGTTCGTCACGTCGTTACTGTCCATTCGACGTACGAGATTTTTCAACACCTCGAGATCCTGCGACACGTTGCAGCTGCGCACGGGCGTCAGCAAACGATCGGCACTCTGAAAGCGTTCGTTGAAACATCTGTGTTTATTTAAATATCAATCCTAGATGTAATAATGTATATAATCAACTACTTTTCTCTCTTTCTCCGTTTTGTGATGAAACTGCGTGCAACTTTTATTATTCTCACCTGTTGCAGGCGCGGCGCAAGAGACTGCAGGTGCGTCAAGTACACGTTGGCGAAGTCCTTCAGAGCGCTAAGTCGCTCCTCCTCGAGCAGTTCCATCTGTTTCGCGCCTTTTCTCACCGTGCTCTCGAACTCCAGCCGGGCTCTCTCGGCCCTCACGCTCACCGTGTAAAACTCCGTGTCCGCCCGGCGCGAGGAATCCTCGGCCTTACGCCGTCTGGTCTCCAGCTTGCTCGCCTCCTTCTCCGTGACATGATGATGACTCGACGGCTTGTTGTTGCTCTGCTGACTCTGACTGATGGTCTGCAACCGCGCCAGATCCTGCAGCCTTTCGTTCTCGCGGGCGCACGCGAAGCTCTGCTTCTTGCTCTTCGAGGCAATTCCGCGCCACTCCTGAAGCGACTTGGACGCCTTGTCCACCGAATTCTCAACCGTCTTTCTCGAGCGACCTTGCGTTTCCGCTACGCCCACCTGTGAGCGTCAAAAAAAAAAAAAGAACGTCATACTTTCGTTCCGTCGCCGCAACATTGCGAGAGATCTTTTGTTTGACGATCAACAGTCTTGTAACGAAAACAACTCGAAGACATTTCATCGATAAGTGAACAACAGATACGCGCCGATCATAAAAAAAATCATTAACTTGCTATTTGAAAGATGATGAAAAAAAATTCCGAGATAAATTCTTATCTCAACGCTTCCTACTTTATTATTTAAAAATTAACATGTATATATATATACTTTACAATGATCTTTCTCCGGAATGTTATGCGGCTGTTGCGTAAGCGCAATCACGCGTACACACGGTGACGTTAGTCTATACTCGCTTTTGCAACGCGAACACGTATGGTAATTATTATTTCCCCGAGACTCTCGGACTTACTCTGAGCGGTTTGGCGAGTTGCTCGCTAAGCGCGATGCCCCATAGCCGGTGGGCTTCCGCGGCAGCCTCCATCTCCTCGCCGACACACCTCCAAGCCTCATTCACACCTCCGGTACCATTACCACCTATATATGTGTTACGAAACGACGCTTGTACTTACTTTATTTTAGACAAGATGATCTCTCGCTACTGAACGCCGATATCGTCAATAATTCTTCAGCGTTCGATGCAACAATAACAACGCAATAATCGCGCGAAATAATCGGAAGAAAAGTTTTACCTTGATCTTTAGCGCACGCCTTCGTTAACTTACTGCTGAGCTTGCTGAGTCCTTTCGCGTAAGTGGCTTCGAGTTCGGCTCTAAAATTCATTCATTTTTTTTGTTTTTTTTTTGTTTTACATTTTATTTGCACAGTCTGGCAACTCGCGTTTTTTTTTTTTTTTATAGGCAAGACAAGGTGACGATTTGAATACCTCTCGTGAAGAATCGAAGCCAGATCCTTGCAAAAGTCGCCTCCTTGTTTGATGTATCTTCGCACATCCTCGAAACCGCCTTGTCCGCCCTGCTTAAGATAACAAAACAAAAAAGATAAAATAAATAAATGATATTTGCAAAAATGGGGGTTTTAAATCACTTTCTCTCTAAAACAAATCGCTTGCGAACAACTCTACAATTTGATTTCGTTCACGAGAACGGCGCCGCGCGCCGTTTCTACAAAAACGTCGATTAACGTTGATTTATTCGTCTCCGCTCGGAGAAATTTTCAGATATTTTGCGAAACGCAGCAAGTACGTCGCCACGCCTGATATTATTGCAGTGTTTTTCGGAACGCCACAAAGGCGTGAAAGTTTAGTATCGCGTATCCGTGAAATTGGTAATTAGGTGTTGAGAGGAGCGGCGAACCGGTTCGTTCGACGATTATCAGTCTCGCGAGAAAGAAGAGGATTTTTGATGATGATGCGGAGAAGATCGCGCGCGAGAAGAGTCGAGAGATTATTTTATATTGCGCAACTCGCACAAAGAAAAAACAAACAAAAACACAAGCAGACCTATAAAATAGATACGAATGCACAATATAAGTGTGGACGTTGCTACGCCTTCGCGTTATACCAAATCCTTTTGTATTTTAATTCGCCTCGCCTACCTTCGATTACGCTCGTCGAATCCCGGGGAAAGGAGAAGCTTCTGCTTTCTCCGCGCGCGACTTGGTGTCCCGGAAGTCGGCGGAGTGATAAAATCGCGAAATATACACGCCACGGGGTATTATAACAATAGAAAGGCTTGTTTTGTGTCTCGTGATAAAAAAAAAAAAGTTTTCATCCCGACCTCGTCGCGGATGTGACTTTTGCGCGCGAGTTTTCTTTTCGCTCGTCGCGACGCAAAAGTTGCGACCGGTCGTTTGAAATTAAAGCTTCAATCATCTCGCGCGTATAGGGTATATCGCGCACCCCCCAAGGCAATTCGGTGAAAGTACGTACGTAAGCTTGATGAGGCCGATTGTTAATTAACTAGAACGCGTAAGTGTAATGAGAATCGCGACGTAAATCGTGAGAAAGTAACCGAATGACGAAAAAAATCGCGAGGAAGCTGCGAAGAAGGCACAGAGGAGGTAACAACACTTGTAATTGTTCTCTCGACAGTTATTTGCAGCTATTCGATGTTTGAACAAGGCTTCCTTTTGGTCGCCGCGTTTAAGCAGAAAATCACCTTTCTCGCGCTCGGAGAGCTATTGGAGCATGGCGCGTTAAACAAATTGGATTTACGTCAGCGATTCTGCGAGTTCCACCTAGTCATGGCAGCTCTTGTGAATAGCGCGAGGTTTCAAAACCTCCCGTTCGCATCGAATGAGCTACAAATAAATGATCCGATGATGACAAATCAATAAAAAGAGAGAGAGAGAGACGGAGAGACGCAGCGAGAGCGTCGAGAACTTACACGCGACACAGAAATAAGAACAGAAACATACCGATTAAAGCGTGTTTCACGTAACGAGTCAAGTTTTTTCATTCATAAAAATGGTTTCGAGCGAAAAAGATGGGTATGGGTTACGCGCGTAACGTGTTATTGCGAGCTCGACATTTGATCACGGTGGCGTATATATGTATACACGACAGGTAATCGCGTTACGTAATATATCGGAATGCAGCGAGGCAACGATATTACATTTCCGTCATCTGCATACTCTCACGATTATGGCACGTATAAAATAGTTACGTAAGAGCGCGACTTAAAAAAAGTCGCGCCCGTCGAAGTCGATAGAATAAAGTTTTAAGATTTCCGTTGCTGCAACACGCGGCGGCTAAACGACGGGTGTTGCGCAACACAACACTCGCGATCGATCGACGAAGACGCGCGTGTGCATCCTTCGATACGACCGACACACGGCTTTGCGTACACAAGAGGCGCGATAGCGAAAACCACAAACGCTCCCCCTTTCCCTCCCTCTCCCCCCTGTAATATCCATCAATTCTAAGACTTAAATGTTTGCTAGTCGAGTGTAATTCACTCAACCCCCGGTGTTCGTCTAGGAGAGAAACCTACCTACGAAACAAAACATGTATAAATCTCTCGGGTGTCGATGAAAAAAAAACGCGCGAAAACAAAATCCGATTCTCGACCTCGATTTCCGCAAAACAAAAATATACGTTGCTGCCTCTGAGATGAACAACGCGTTATGCTGGATATTTATATAACTATTAGATATAAAGAAAAAAAAAAAAGATCAAATAACTGACACAGTAGATCGATCGATATGCGGTAGAAGATCTTAGCGGACATGGTCCATTTGTAACGTGAGTGCATAGCGACAGGGACAACTTTCTATTCAGACTCGGTCTAAATTTTACCGAAAGTGGACTCGCCGCGGTCTGCTTCCCGATATCTTACACGAACGTTAACGCAATCGCGTTATCGGAAACGTATACGTGATCTCTATCATATTATATTATATTGCATGTATATTTTACTTATATACTCGAACGGTAGCCGCGCTAACACACCGGTAGAGCTGGTTAAAAATTGGAAGAATAACTAAATCAGTTTTTCATCATGCGTGTCGCGCATAAATTTTCCATTGTGACAAAAAAAAACACCGATTTGCGTAACGCGCGCGATATTAATATACACATGATAAAGCAGCGTGTTTAATTTAAAAGAGATATTAATGTTTCATACGACGTTTCTATTATTGAGACACGGCGAAAGTTGCGCCGATCGGCGCTTGATCAGCACAAATTTACTGAAATGTCACAGAAATAAGTCGACGTATTTTATTTATTAGAGTCACAGTCGAGTTCTCAACTATTTTTAACGTCGATTTTATCATCGTCTCCGAGATACACGTCGTGTAATCCAAAAACTCTCTTCCGTCTCGAGATACGCGCGACGTCACACACGTGAAACTACTAATTAAATGTTTAATCAATAACCGCTCTTTGACAGAAGAGACTTAATTTCTTGTTAATTATCTTTAACTCGTTTGCGCTAACGGTATTGATAATGTATACTCGCGGAATGTAATAGACGTCCGTAAGTAAATTATTAATTCTTTGCCTGCAGACATGGGTCTCCTAGACCCACTTAAAAATGGCGCATCAACGTTTCTAGTAAAAATTAATGTTTTTTAAACGATTAGTCTTCGAAACTACTAGAGATTTTTTCAATTTGTTTTTTTTTTTTATCGACGCAGAATCGTTCAAACTTTTGATTAAAAAAAAAAACAAAATTGAAAAAATATTGATTTTTTGCGGAAATATTTGATTTTAAAGTCGCGCGAGTCTCAGTCCGTTTTACTCGTAAGTCATTTTCAAGGTCCGCAGGCAAAGGGTTAATTTCTGCTATTTTTTTTCTTCCTCCCTCTCTCTCTCTCTCTCTGTTTTCTCTCTGTATCTTTCTATCTATTTATCTCTATTTCTCTTCTTGTAAGAATATCTAGCTCGTTTAAATGACAAATTGCGTTAAGGAAACTGCGATCTTGCCTCTTTATTCAGACACGACTGTTAAACGAGTGCAAATAAGCGCGATGTCATAAAATATGATTATACGCATTCATAAATAACGACCGACGCATGAAGCAAGTCAGACATAATAGCAATTCGGCCGCTCGGCTCTCTTAAAGGTTAATCGATACATCTATTACTGTACATCGGTGACGATAAACGGGGCGTGCACTTCGCAACAGGTGGTTTATTTTCATTCGCTTCGGTGCAAAACTGAGCAGGTGTGCTCAGTCAGTGGCCAGTCACTTAATCGATGATTGTCCGAACCTACATTTCGCAGAGTGTGAAAATATAAAAGCTAACTACCATTCTCGAAAATGTGTCAGTTTGCAACACGGTATGTATTATATACTTCTTTTTTTTTTTCGTTTAGTTTTTTTTTTCGTAATCTACGGCAGTGAACTCTGTGTATGTGGGTATTACTCAATTGCGATCAAGTTATCTCAGGCCAATTAGAACGCGAGCACGTTGTTGCGGCGACTGCGGAATTCACTGCAGATTCACGCGCAGCACAAATGTGCGCGAACGACCGTGAAATTTGTTGCAACGTGAAATAGCGACGAGCGGCACTGTTTTTTTTTATACGTGCGCCAAGACTCTCACAAACCCTCTCACACACCGTCGGAATAGTTAACGAATGTCTTCGCTATATTCCTTTCCCTTTTCCTACCGACAATACTTCCGCCGCATTCAATCTCGCGGAGAAATCGCGCGCGGAGATCACAACCGAACAAACGTCCGTCTGTTGTGCGCCGTTAATGCGAACGTTTTTACACGTACGACACTTTCCGACTTGTTTAACTTCGCATATGTTAGCTAAAGCGGCTGAATGGAGAACGTTATCCTTCGCTCTTTTGTCTCTTTTAAGTCTCATTTGCACGCGAAGTTCATTCATTCGATTTTCTTCGGTATGTCTGAAAAACACCACAATGAATCAATACCAAACGTATGAGCAAAAAAAAACAAAACATATATTTCGCGTAAACTGTGAGGGATGTGAGAATCAGTTTGCGTACGTGTTATTTTCTACATATAGAAACTTGAAAAGATTTTTAAATTAAATTACAAAAAATCATAAATTAAAACCAGATCTTCAGAAAAGTTGAGTTTTATATAAAATGTAAAATAAAATATTTAATAATTTAACGATACACCGAAAAAATTATATTCTCGTAAGTAGAAGATTTTATACTTAAAAAATCTTCTTAAAGATTTTAGATGATATTCTTCTGAAATTAAGAATATATTCTTTATTTAAGAATATATTCTTTATTTAAGAATATATTTTTTTTGATAGTGAGATATATATGTTTTTCTATAGAGGCTTTTTTTATATTCTAATCAGTATATATTCTTATCAATATTACTATTTAGAGGATTTTGCTCTTAAAATAAGAAACTCTTCTTGGCGCCTATTTTAGTATAAAATATACTTAAAGTAAGTGGGATATCCTCAAAACAAGAATACAATTTTTTCGGTGTAATCAAGTAATACGATTTATATAATATCCTAACGTGTGTTTAATATGTTTCTGTATTTAATCATTTTTTCCCACATTTGATAATTTGTGGTAAAAAAATACACCAACAAAAAACAAGATCTGTGACCTACTCTCTTCGAAACGTCAGAAAAAAGTCATGCACGTATATACACGTGCACGCTGTAATTTGTCTATTCTCTCGACCACGGAACCGACAATTCCGCTTTCCGTCCTTGACGAATTAGACGTCACGTAGCTGACATATCGCGTAAAAGTTTGTGCGGAGAAACTCCGATGACCCCTATGCCACTCTATCAGAGGGATCTGCGGTCGAATGCAACTGCAAGTCAAGGTGGCAATCTTTTCCCCCCGTTCCTCACGGCCACACGCGCGTCTCTAAACATATTTTAAACACATGTACACGCGATTGGCGTGAACACGCTGAAACACACAAACACAGAGAAAGAGAGAGAAGACACGGGGTAAAGCGCGCGCGCACGCATGTATGTACGTACGTACATACACGAAACAAAGTCGGCTACTATTTTCACCGGCGCAACTTTCCCACACTTTCCATGCTTTGCTTTTGCGATGCTTCGAGGCACGATCGAATCACGCGATCGCGCTAAACGCCATTTCTCCTCAGCGGTCGATAAATCTTCCGATAGACAACGACCCGCATGTATAATTTCGATTCAGAGAAAGCAAATACGATGTAACTGAAAGATATTGCGATAGTGTGTGTGCGCGGGGTTTCAAACAGCAGGTGCTGTCTCATGTTTGTAAATTGTTTCACGGATCATCAATTAAGATAGAGATTAGCAGACGAGACGCGAGATCAGTACTTCACATTTTTTTTTTCTTTTTTTTTTTGGCTTCATCCGAAAGCGTTTTGCGTAAGTTGGAAAAAGAGTCACATATCTACTACAAATATAGAATTTTATTTGTATTCGGGGAAAAGAAACGTGACGTGAGTCACCGATAATCGCGTTATTTTCAAAGCGCGCGAGGAAGATTGCGATTTTCTTCAACACGCGTGATATATCGCTCAATATTGAAGTAACGCGTATGAGTCATGTTTTCTCGAACGCGAGTAAATTGCGAAAAAATTTTTTTCGACTTGTGAGACTCGCGCGAAAAAAAAATTTTAATTTACGTTTTCTTATTTATTGATTTCAATTGCGATTTCTCGCACGTCTAGTGAGAGCGAGAATCTCTGACCTTTGATGATTTGACTCGATTGAAATTTCATTTGGTCTGAGAACTCGTAACTCACACAATCGACAGTTGAATGCGCGCGTGTGACGTCGAGTATATTTCCCTTTCGTCGTTCAGACGAACGCGCGGTCGTGTCTGAAGTGTCCTTACACGTGCCGCGATGATATTAACCCAAATAAGACTGAGCAAAAATTGCGAACCTTCGTAACCTTGTTCATTATGTTCATTACGAGCGAGACGTTAAACTCCCACTGCACTCTGAAACTGTGTCGTAGTGCGTTTCGTAGCAAGGACGGGATCGCGCGACAACAAATAGAGTACATATTTAAGTAGATCGTCTTTGAGTGAAATATTGTGCGGCGAAAATTTTTTTTCAACTTTTTAAATTTTTTTTTTTCTATAGTTTTTAATTTGCGCGCAGTTCGGATTGAAGATTCGTCTCAAGTATCTCGCGCGCTCTCAGAATCCGAAACTTTGTACAGCTTCAATCAACAACAATATTCCACTGTCCGCACCTCTTTGTCTCGTTTTTTTTTTTTTTTTTTTTACTTTTAAGCTCCCGTACGTTTCGAGTGTTTGCGTGCGTTCTCGCGCAAGTGCGCGCGACAACTGCACAAACACGTAGTTCGAGCGCAACAGCGAGAAAGAGAGAAGTTAAACCGAGACTCTTGAGAGAAGAGTACCTCGTCGGTCTCGTTGGTCTGCAGCAGATGAGTCGAGGCCATTAACCCTCTGATTGACCCGAGCATTCTCCTCTTAATCAGGCCACCTTTCCCGCCGTGGTTCCTCGACGTCTCAGCATCGGCGCTACCGTTCCCCGTTATCGTCGCCGCTTGCGGCTTTGTCGTCTCCACGTCGTTTTCCACGTTCGAGCACAGCTTGTCCATACTGAACGACACCGGCGGCTGCAATCGCGTTCTCTTGTTCTCCAGGATGTCGTCCGAACTGACGGTCTTTCTTCTCAAGTTGCCGCGCGTCAACGTTCTCGAGCTGTTCGCCGACGCCGGCCTGTCCGCGTCCGAGACGTTCGCCTCCTCGGACACCGACGACAGACCGAATTCCTCAACCCGGGTGATCGAGCCGGACGTTTGGACGCGTGCCTGCGTCAGGTCGTAGAAACCGCGCTGCTTGCTTTTCGACGTTCGCGTGGAAGCCGCTTCGTCGCTTCGTCCCTTACAATGCGAAAGATTTTTTTTTTTTTTATAAAAAACGAAATCGAATGGCAGATACTCGAAAGAATTAACTGCCTTGTCTCTTCGTTGCTCTCATTCCGAGACGTGCGTACGTTCGAGATATCGAGTATATAATTTAGTTGGTAATCTTGATATTATGTGCAAACTTGCATTGTGTGTGTGTGTGTGTTATGTAGCTTAAAATTCGTTACGTCGGCATTTGTCAATCGTAGGATTCTCGAACAAAATCGTAATGTATGTACGAAGACCTAACCGAAGGGTGAAAGCAGAGTAAGCCCGTAATCTGCAAGGTCTATTTCAAACGCTGTGTCACATCTCGGCTTGTTGCAAATTATACACAAACTTACTTCTCCGTTCTAAATCCTTCGTACATACGCACCGCGATGCCGTAAGAGCTAGTTAGAGTTACATCAAATTTCTATTTCACGCGATTGAATTTCAAATTTCGTCAGTTAACGTAAGAAGATCGCGCTCGTGTAAAATTATTTGCTTCTAATGTAAATTCGAATAAAAGTTTTTTTTCGATCAACTTTGCGCGTCAATTACGTCGCTATTTATACTCGTTTTCGTTTTATCTTGATATTTTTTCACACACACACACAATGTTGTTTTTATTGACGTTAAAATTAATTAAAAGACGTAATTTTTCGTTTTCTTTCCGAATATTTTGTCGCTACCTCGGAACTGAGCGCGCCGACCGCTTGCAGCTTCGCGTGTCGGTTCACCACCTCGCCGATCTTGGTCCTTTCCTCACGCAGCCAATTGCGCATCCTACCCCAAGCCTTGCCCAGCCGCTGCTTCTGCAGCTTCAGGCGTTTGCTTCGGTTCGACTCGCCGCTCACCGACAACGCCGTCTCTTCGTGAGGAGGACACTCCGGATCCGAATACGATCCGGACATCGACGCTATGCCGGCGTCGTAACCGTCGCTGTCCGACGCGCCGTAACTCCTTCTGCCGGACTTGAGCGATCTGGTGGAACGTTTGAGCTGATCGAATTTGCTTCTCCTGTTGGACGAGGCATGAGTCGCGATTGTTTCCTTGCGATTTTGCTCGACGTTGTTCGGCGCGTCTTCTTCTCGCGATTTCTTGAGAGACAACGTGCTCTTCGGCACGTCGTAAAGATCCGACGATTCGACCATGTCTGTTTCCCGATGATCTCTGGATTGTTCCAAGGAAATTCGATTGTTCTCCGTTGAAATCGCGGAACTCCTCGGGAAGTCGTACAGGTGATGATGATTTTCCGCGGATTCGCCCTGATCGCTGGTGTCGACCTCCAGAACAACGATCTCCTCCTCGTCGGAATTCTCCGCGTCGTCGTGGCAATTCTTCGCGTCGTCGGCGCGCAGAAAACTAAAACTTATCGTCGGCACGCCGTCGGCGTCCGTCTTCACGGTCGCGGTGGCGTTCAGTTCCACCGTTGTGCTGTGCCGTTGCTTTTCGTTCCGATTCATTCTCGCGTGAAACTCCTCGGGAGTTTCGTTCGAGACGGCCTTTACGTCACTCTGATACACCGGAGAGACACCGACGGATTTCGCCGCGTCGGAAGACTTTGTTTGACTTTTGTCGGACAGTTGACTCGCGTAAACTTTCGTTTTACGTTCCTTCGCTTCGTTATTCGCCACGACGTCGGTCTCCTCGTGAAATTCGCGACAGTGCACGATTATCGGCGCCGGCACGTCGTACCACGTCGTCTTCGCGACGCTCGTCGTCGCAACATTGGCCGAACTCCTCGCGGGCGATTTCAAGGCTGTCAAAACGTTCCTCACCTCATTCATCTCTCCGCGATATGTGCCAGATGTGAAAGATAAATGTCTTTCTCTCTTGCGCGCACAGATATCGGAAGTCAATGCTTCGGGAGATTACTCCTCCGAGTTTTTCGTTCTTTCTTTCTTTCTCTCTCTCTCTCTTCCTATCCTCTAACGAGATCCCGTTGCGAGGAACGCTATTAAGTCGCGATCGAATCGCGGCGAGCAACGGTGAAACGAGACGTGTTTCGAAAACATGTGTTGTTATTATCGCGCGCAATAAGAGCGTCGCGTCGGGAATATATATCGATATATTTTTCACTCCTCGCGTCGAGCAAAGTTCTTTTCATTTTCGATAAATTAACGTTAAAAAAAAAAAAAAAAACGTCTCGAAATAATCGGCGGTGTGTGATGATTAATTTTCGTTTCCGCGTTTCTTTTCTTCAATCGTCCGCTCTGAAACTGCGAGAAACGCCGAGGATACTTCCGACACTTGTTTCCGCGATCGTCAGATGGACAGAACTTCGTAATCTCATTGCAGCAGGCTTGTCGTCGCCTCGTCGTGCGACGTCGTCCGACACAGCGAATCGCGCAGTAATAAAGAAGAACCTGAACGATCACGCGGCAGAGACATCATATTGGCAATGACAGTCGATTCCGTCGAGAACTTTTGCGCGGATCCAATTTGTCGTCGAGGCCGATGGCGCGCGACGCCCGCGCGCGCGAGAGAGAGAGAAAGATATGAGGAGAGAATGACGCGTTTCCTCACGCTTCACCTGCGCTTCATTGCCAGTCATCGGTTAACGCGCACTGTGTGACGGCTTGCAACTCACGTGGAAGCGCGCAACGGCGTCGCGACAGGATGGAATTTGAAAAACGGTGTCGCTCGGCTCAACTGTGATTACAAATACGCGCGCGCGGCCGTAACACGTACGGCGGCGTTGTTAACGGTCAACATTTTATTCGAGGCACCGCGGCGTTGACCACAAAATACATCGACGACGGGATGAACGACGACAGATGGATGAAGATCGAGGATGCGGATATGATGAGAAGCGCTCTATCGCCGAGTCGAACGTCGGTCGGCTATTACGTAATTATCGCGTTATACGAATCGAGAATCGCGTCAGAGAAGGACGAGGTCGCGTTTGTTAATTTCGTTTCGTAATTTGTTTAATTTTATTCCATTTTGTTTTTCTTTTTGTCTTTCTTCTTTTTTCCTCTTGTCGTTATTTTCTCTCCTTTTCTCTTCGCTCTCTTTTCTTCGGTTTTTCGTGTTTCACGCTCTCGTTGCGCGTCACGTGCGAAGCGCGCAGCCGACGTCACGTCGCGCACTGGATAGCGCCGGCTATATAATGACGAGCCTTCGATGATTGGTCAGTTTCGTATTGTGCGAGCGCAAAAAGCGGTCACCACACGAAGACAGGTGACAGGAGCGTCCAATTCACGATGAAGCCTAACAGCTTCGCGCGCACATCCGACGAGAAAAACAAAAATTGCACTCTCGTGACGTTTTTTTTTTTCTCCCCTGAAGAGGAAGAATGTGTGTTTCTTTAAAAACACTGACGCGAGTTTAAAAAAATGGAGATTCCGGTAATGCGCGTATATGTCGATTGATTTTGATGCGCGCGAGTTTTACGCGATCGATTTTTAATCGAAACGGATATTTTTCGCGAGATTCGTGTCGGAACGACGCTTCGACGACAAACTAGTGCCGGTGCTGCTGGCCTAGAAGCAACCGCATTATACAACCGCGAACAATTACGTCCATATTGTACACCGCGTGCACTCACACTGCCGCAACCGTGCGTTTCGCGACCGAAGAATCGTCGATTCACAATCGTAAATTATCCGAGATCGCGTCTTTTATTTCTCCCCTCTCTTCGCATTACAGGTATCGAGCGCGCGAGAGCTATTATTATTATTATTCTTCCTCTTCCCAACATACACAAAGCTAGCCGTCCGAGAATAAAACTAACATCGCCGCGGAATTCAAGATTCCGTTTCCGTTTTTTTTTTTAACGCGTCGATCGCGCAAACCCTCCTCGTGATCTCGTTTCCGACTCTGTCACGTAGCCGCACTGAATCAAAACATCATCGTCTTGGCGCTTAACAAAACGCGCGCGCGCGCGCGTCGCTCGTACTACGCGCGCGCAAAATGCAACATACGAGCACGAGCGCTGCACCGAACTCACTGACGGATCACGGACCGCTATCGCGTGCTTTGCGAGAACGAGTGCGGAAACGCACCAGAGTCCACATACACACGGAGGGGAGAGAGAGAGAGAGAAAGAGAAAGAGAGAGAGAAAGAGAACTGAACTGGCAATGTGCGTAACGCGAATGGTAAGCGAGCAATGGATAGTTTTCAGGCGACTGAACGTGTTTCTAGGCAGGGGATATTTCGCGGTGTTTTCTATTCTTTGGAGATTTATATTTAGCCCGGGTTGCCGCACTTAGGCACACCCATCTCTCGTTCCCGCTCGTCCGTTTGGCGCACGCGAGCAACGCGCGCGTTCTGTGTTTATCCCAATGCTCAGCAATGCAGAATTTTATTGAAGATAAATATAAACTTAAGTAAGTTTAATTGATTAAATTTTTTTGTAAAAAGAATAAAGGAATGTTTATTGATTCCTATCAGGGTTAACAATATTTCTTTTTACACTCTTCTTCCACATCTCCCACAACAGACTTATTTTTTTTTTTATTTTTGTTTTTTTTTGTATCTTTTGCAAATTATTTATTAATTTGATTTTTTTTTACTGACACGTGCGTGGCAATACCAGCGTTCGGTTCGCATTACATTCTCTTCGTTTTACACTGTCGATCTTATCTTTGGAGCCATCAGTTACAATCACTCGCTTCAGTGACTTAGAGAGATAAAAAGATGTCGAAGTGTATTGTAAATATATAGTAACAAAAATTCAAGATAAAGAAAAATGTTTCAAAAATTCTTTTCGAGTGAGAAGAGGAGGAAGTTGGACAAAGTCCAGCTAGTAAAGGTTCTTATTCTTTTTACTCATACAAAATAAAACAAAATGCGCTTATCGCGCGCACACATGCACAATGTAAAACAGTCAGAATATAAATAATGAAGCATTGCGAAGCGTGTTTTATGCTAACCGAGCCAATCGTCCACCGAGCGTGTACATCGTTATCAGCAATCGTCAGAAACAGCTACGTTGCTGCGTCGAAGGAGCGAAAGTAACGATACAAGAGATACAAAAATCCAAAAGTTACATCTGACAGGACACATTTCGATAGTCGCACATGTGTGTCAAACAGGAAATATAACTGGAAAGAAAATCATTCGAAAAGTATGTGTAAAAAACACTCAAATAGATAACGAAACGCGTGAAAGATGTCGAGAAAGTGGTGTTACAGGAAATTATTTACAAACTAAATTATTTACACACGTGAAATTGATAGTGCGATTAAGTTTTCCTGATTAAAAGTCCCTCTCGTTAAAAATGCTACACGTTGTGACGTTGCGCGAAAACGTTTTTGTTAACGACTCCTGTATTTAGTTTTTCCTCTTGTTAGACATGTGAAAAAAAAAAATCAAATCGCGAATGCGATTCGCAACGCTTTCGCTTCGTGTTTTGCGTCGCTTTAATTACGAGACCGTCTCGCGAAGAGATAACGTTATATGTGCGTCAACAATGTGTCACCTGTTATCACTTGTACGACATATGCATTCCTATAGAGTGCTGCTGCTGCGTGCTATATTTTATGCTTGTTTTTTATATAAAATTATTGTTGAACGCGCGTGCGGCGGGAAAGAATTCTTTCCGGAAGGAACGCGCATCGCGGAGCACAAGATGGTCACATCCTCCGTCGCGAACGTTATACTGCTCGGTTCGGCAAAATTTTCACCGGGAGGTGATATTTTTCGCGAAATTCGCGAAAGCGCTTACACCCAGGCCGCAAAAGAACAGATGCAATTCAACTTGACGTTAAATCTGTCTGAAAGATTGCCATAACGGAGATCTCGTAATGACAAACACGCCTTCTACAAACGAGTGAAGGTAAACACGCGCGCTGCATTAAATCTCACGTTAATTTCTGTAATTTGTCGAACGGCGCTTTGACGCGACCGAAACTGTGTCATTCCCGCTAACTGTAGATTTAACGCTAATCCGAGATAATTCCGCACAGGGTGAGAGAGTAAGAGAGAGAGAGAGAGAGAGAGAGAGAGAGAGAGAGAGAGAGAGAGAGAGAGAGAGAGAGAAGAAGAGGATGGTACAAGAATAAAACTTGCGGGCGAAAATTCATTTAAATCATCCTACTGAACTCCTTCTTCCAATAATTTTATGGACTACTTTCTCGCGAAAACTCGCCTAAAGTATTACGCGTCCGTGACAATACAGCGATATCTCTCGACCGAGAAATTATTCAATAAATTAACACGCCCGATCGATGCGAATTGTGCAGTATCAATGTCAAGTTATTGAATAATTTATCGTTTTATCTATTATTACCTGTTGTATTTATACGCGCGTTATATACACGTATTGCGGTATTGTTCGCAGTGTTCGCGCCTCGCTCGTTGCGTTGCTCCCATTTTACTCTATTTTCTTTCATTTATTTTATTACTCGTATCCTACTTATGTATGGCACGCAACGAGGTTATTATTATTATTATTATTATTATTATTATTATTATACAATAAGTTCGCAATTTTTCAAATAAAGATACATCTCGCAGAGGTGATTTCGAAATCATTTGCATTTTGAATACGTTCTTTCCCGTTCGCGCGAGAACATCCCATTTCCACTTCGCGCGACAGATGGTGACGCGTTTCCAGCGGCGTAGCGGATTTTAAACACGTGTTGCGCACATATCCGGTATATTGAGACTCGGAGAAGCCGAATAAAAGTTGCACGCGCGCGCGTTTATAATAACAGCGCGCGTCGTCTTGTTCGCGCCGCGTTTTTCCGCCGGGCGCATATTGTAACGCGCGCGCGCGCGCGCGCACGCGTATTACGAACGTGCGCGTATTAGCACACACATGTACACTTGGTTACTCACGTGGGAGTTCTGCGGGGACTTGGGACGCGGTGCCTTGGAACGGATCCAACCGGGGAGCCAGTGACGTGAGACCGGAAACATTCTATCGTCGTCGCGTCGATGTAACGCGTTGTCCATACACGGCGCGTTATCGTCGGCATACACGGACGAACAATTGTTCGCAGAAGTAGGACGTAGAGAAAAGATCGAGAAAAGACAACGAGAACGCGGATCGTTCGATTTTTGATCGTCACATCACACACGCGTTCTTCAACAGGGTGCAATATGCGTCGGATGTTATTTCGTCAAGCGAAATTGTGAGAATAGATACGCGCGATTTTGTACAATAACACCCGATCGACAATTCTCGACGCGACCGAGTTTGATTGATACGGAGCGACACATCGCGAATCGCCGAATTCGGAACTTACGGCTCGACTGTTGTTTCCAGTATAAGTACACGAGCGCGAGCTACGAGAGAGAGAGATAAAAACATTAACTGGCGATAAAAGGCGCGACGTGTCCGATCCGCGCGAAATATCGCGTTTGTCGCTTATCGCGTCGATCGACGCGTTATCCGACAACGCGACATATTTTTCAAAAAGATCCGCCGTCGCGCGGAGAGCATCTCTTTAAAGAGGTTTGGAACTGTTCACTCAAGAAGCGAAAGGGAAATGAGATATGGTATCTGCTTTATCTAACTTTAAAACGGTTTTAATTTTCACTTTGTTATTGTATATCTATATTCCTATTTGCCTTGAACGTGAACTAAAAACACGAACAACTGATTGCCTAACTGATTGCGCTGTTGCCACATTTTCTTCGTGACTAAAAAATCATCAAGTTTAGTATTTTTTAATAATTATTTTCTTTTTCATTTGCGAGAAAAGATTCTTTTATTTTTATTACAATTTCTAAGTCCTTAATCTAGAAATTTTTTCAGACAGTCGTGTCAGTTTTATCCTACTTGTTTTCTGATAAAATATGAGAACCCCATAAGAACTTATGTTAAAAATCTGAAATTATCGAGTTTTCAACAAAGATTTTCTCGGAATTGTTCATAGAAATAAATATTGAAAAAAGTTTTGTAAAAGTTGATTTTACGACCAAGAACGAGATCTTCAAGTTTCAAAACCTCTTGATCTCAATTTTTAAACATGTCCCAAATTCTCTTTAACATACAAAGCGTTCGTTAACAACGCGATGTTGCTCGT